CTGGCTCTGGGTGGAGGTAAAAGGGCCTCTGGACAAACACCAGCCTTCACTTTCCCTCTATACTGCTTAGAGGACATTTCATAAGCCAGGCTTGTGGGATTTGAAAGCTGAGAACTTCCACCATTGAAGATGCTCAAGCCTCCTCAGGCTCAGAGCAAAGTCTCCACCTGAGGCACCCTTTCCCCTTTTATCAGCTGATCCAGGAATTGGGGGAGCCNCAGTCCTGAGAGATTGACTTGTTTGAAGAGGAGCTTAAGGACTTCAATTGGTTCACAGGAACAGAAGTGACAGTCTTCCTGCTGGGGGAGTCCTGCGGAGACTTAAATGAAACAGGTTTCATTGGAGGGAAGGGGACCCAGCTGCTGACTTTCTGTAACTCAACAGCACTTGGGGTGCTCAGGAGGACTGTATAAATCCCTTCAATTTAGAGTTAACTGGTCTGTCAGGGACCCCCTCCCCTCTAGGCTTCTAACAATACTTGGTCCCCTGGCTTTCTGGGGCTACAATGTATAGAGAGATTGGCCTGGGGGAGTTTCCAGTCCCTATATTTCCTGAGTGCCTGCTGAAACTTTCCCAAATAAATAATATAGGAAATAACAGAATTGAGGTCAGAATCTAAAGCAATGAGCAGTACTAGAGCCAGGGCTTAGAGGTCTCCTGACCAAGCTTTCCCAGAGGCCTTTTCAAGGGGCTGTATTTATCTTTACAACTGAGCAGGTTTCAGAGGAAATAGGCCCAGAGTGAGTGGTTGAGATAGAATAAATGGCTCCCATATCAATTAGGAAGTTAACAGGCTCACCTGCCATGTCAATGTTCACCTGCAGTTTTGCCCCTGTGATGAGAAGAGCTTGGGAACCTCTGGGGACTTTAGGCCCATCAGTCAATTACAGCCATTTGTGGGGAGGGAGTTGGTCCCTGCTCCCTTCAGAGCAGGGGACAATCCCTCTTTCAGTGCTCTTTTTAGTTTGCACAGGGGCACAGCTGCTTTGGAGGTTAGGATATTCCTTACTCCAGTGGTCTGGGCTTCCACATCCGAAGCAGGCTCCTTTACCTGATGTTCCTCTTCCGGGGTTGCCGGGGTGCCCCTGAAGTGGCTTTGGCCTCTTTATTATTTGCAGCAAAAAGTCTGGCCCGTCTCTGCCCTCCTTCATCTCACTGTTCCTTTCTTTTCTTGTCTTCTCTGTATTGATTGTTAAAGACATTTACTTTTTTATTTTTCTATTTATTTTTTTTAAAGATTTTTATTGGGGAATTGGGGAAGGGGAACAGACAAGTTGCTGTCCTTTTGTTCTTCAGTCTAGTTGTAGAGGACATTGCTTCACTGGCACATGTTGGTGGCATCATTGCGTTCTTCCCGGGTAAGGCAGTCGCTTGCCAACCATTGGATGGCCACTCACAGCAGCTCATGGCAGCTCATGAAAGTGCACACCAGCTGGCGGCCAGCCCCACTGCAGTCCAGTTCCAGGTCGAGCTGTTGTTCACCATCTTAGCTGTAGAGGGTGCAGTGTCACTGGCTCTCATGTGGGATCCGAACCAGGGCCCTGCTGCTCAGAGCTGGCATCCCAAGCCAACTCCTAACAAATGTGCCACTCAGCAGGCCCCTGTTAAAGACATTTAAACACATTTCCTGGCCTTCTCTAGAATCTGTGCCTTTTCATTAAGATGCAACAATGGGTCAGAATTACTATAATATCCTGTTAGATTAGGAAAAAGATTAGGCCAGCTGAATGAATTTACCCTAAACTTATCTAGGTTTTTGGTAAAAACCGTTAAATCATGCTTTCTGCTGGCTTATATCTGACATGAGAAGAGCACATGAACCCCAGTAGTCTTAGAATACAGTAGCTTACCTAATTATTAGCAAAACTTAATTCTTACTATTGTCGAGATTTAGTTTTCTTTAGTAACCAGGACCTGATGAGGATAATATAAAACATAGAAATTATTCTGATGACACATATAATCTTTGCTTTTTAGGTAGAAAACTTTTTTATAATATCAATAGCAGAAATGTGTCCTACTTAGCAGAGAGAGAAAACTCAATTCTACTAGCTTACTTTGGATATTCAAATTTATTTAATTGATCATATTTAACTTAATTATATGTAAAATTTTCTCAAGGTTTTTCACAAGCCTATCTAATAATTAACATTTCAGCATTTCATTGTTTTGAAATACCTATTCAATAATTTTTATCATTTAACACAACTTAGAAAAACTAAAATTTTAAGTTACTAAGAGATGCTAGGAAACTATACCCAAGCATCCACATTATATAATTATTACTGAAAAGTTTCATTTAAAACCTCATTTTAGTTACTTCTTATTAGTTCTTAACCCCATGACATCCCAAAGTCAATTATCCAAGCTACTTTCTTGGCAAATTTTGCAACAGAGATAACATGAATTTATTTTGAAAGTAGGCTTATTCAGAATGTCAGTACCCAGGGAAGATGGCAGATTCCTGTCCAAAGGCCATCTCCCTTATGCGGAATCCCACTACAGGTGGCCCCTGCAGGACTTAGACCAGGAGCAGTGGAGTAAGGGGGTGGGGGGATGCAGGAGACAAGGAAAGTGATGGGGTGGAAGAATCAGAGGGATTGCCTCAGCCTGGGGAGGAGGAGAGTGCAGAGACGGTCTTGGCTGTGGGGGAACGCGGGATAGGAGAAGATCATCAAGGAGGTCGGGGAGGTCGACTGAGGAAATCTAGCCAAGCACATGTGGCATTGTTTCCGGAGGTCCAGGTCTTCACTTAGGGCCATTAAGGCTTGGATATAGGGGGCCTCAGACCATTTCTGTAGCTGCTGGCAGAAGAGGTCTCGTTGCATGGTGTTAAAGTGAAGAGTTCTGTTGGCCGGACAGACCTCCTGATCATCTAGCTTACCGTAGTTTGCCATGTTTAATGAGCATTTTTTTTTGCCCAATTTTGTGAGGGAAAAATAAGGATGTGCATTACACATGGGTAGAACTAATTCCATATCTATATAAATGTTTTAATTTTTAAATTTATGCTTATGAGTTAAAAGTGTAACTCTAGAAATCAATAATGCTATCTGTATGCAAAAAACCCCCTAGAATATGATAATTGGTTTCATTGAAATTATCACAAACTTGCAACGATGCAGAGTTCTTGGCCTTCTATGATGCATAAATATCATACATTTGTTACTGGTACATAAAATTTCTTGTAGCTTGTATCTGTTCTTGTGTTTTGTAATTATTTGTTACATAAAATTTTCTTGTACCATAATATGTTAAAAAATAAATGCTTCAGTTGTTCCTCTATCTCTGAGACCACTTCTGTTTACTTTCTCGTTCTTTCACTATTTTAGATTCCACATATAAGTGAAATCATATGGTATTTGTCTTTCTCTGACTGACTTTTCACTTAACATAATAGTCTCTAAGTCCATCCATATCATCCCAAATGTTATGATTTCATTCTTCTTTATAGCGGAGTAATACTCCATTGTATAAATGTACCACAGTTTCTTAATCCAATGGGCATTGCGGTTGTTTCCAAGTCTTGGCTATTGTGAATAGTGATGCAATAAACATAGGGGTACATACTGTATAATATTGTATGTCAACTATAAGTGTATATATATATATATATTACATATATATAATATACATATATAGTCATGGGATGTGGAGTATAGTGTGGGAGTGGAGTCAAGGGATTTGTCATAGATATTTATGATATTGGGGGGAAATGGGGAGACGGATTGGGGGAGGGGTGTAGTCACTTCGAGGGGTAAAAAGTATAACTACTGCACTGTGTTGTACAGCTGAAACTAATTCTAAAAAATGTGTATTTCATAATAAAAAATAATTTAAAAACATAAATAAATTAATGCTTCAAATATATGGTAATGAAAAGAGAACTGACTCTGGGTTGTGAACACACAATGTGATATATAGATGATGTACTACAGAACTGTACACCTGAAATCTATGTAACTTTACTAACAGTTGTCACCCCGATAAACTTTAATTAAATAAAAAATTAAAATAAATGCTAAAATTCCTTTATAATACAAAAACAAGTACCTAAATGTAAACAAACAAAATTGTGAATTAAAAACTTGAAACGAAATATTTTTTTCCCTGAAAGTTTAGGCCAAAATCATGGGTGTGCATTAATACGTGGCAAAATACGGTATATTGTGGCTAGGCAACGTAACAGAAAAATATTGTTAGAGATTAGAGAGAGGCCGAATTTTGTCGAATTCTTAAGAAGACAGCTGAGAGGAGAGTCTTGGGGAATAGAGGGGATACCTCCCATGACTGCGGGGCGGGTGGTTCATAATAGCTAGGCGCCTCCCTCCCCTGACCCCGTCCCTCCATTCTAAGTCCCTGAACAAAAAGATCCTTCAACTCTGGTTTACGGACATAACCGGTGCTTCACTGTGTACCTGAGAGGGAGTGAACGACAGAATCTGACTGACTGATAGCTGTGAGGCTGTCCCATGCACTACTAAAATTGTAGGTCGTGGACTCAGCCCACGGCCGTCCCCAGGTATATCCACTTACTGACTGACATCCTAGTGCGTCACTGGAGGTGCTTCCCCAGAAGACCTGANGGAAAATGTGCCTTCAGTTTACTGGGAACTTTATTATGGTAAGTGACATGTAGCAGCTGCTTCTGGCTTGAGTGTGGGCTAGATTTCGCCACCACCTGTGAGTTTCCTTCAAGCGATGAGTAAGTGAAAAGCCTTACTATCTCTGTTTATCTGTTTATCTTGGCACATTTCAGGAAGGAAGCAGAGTGACATACTTTTTAGGCTATTTCATTGCTCCACCCTGTGCTGGGTCTTTACAGTCCTGGCCGGGCTTTGGGGCTGGGAGAGGGGGGTGAGCTTTATTCACTGCCCACTCTTCCATGTCATTCAGGTTTCTATTCAAAGGTCACCTCCCCTAGGAGGCCCTCCCTGATTGCCCCATCCAAAACAGCCCCCTCAGTCACTTTCGAATAAGACTCACTCTTTTTTTTTTTTTGCAGGAACCGCCAAAGTTTTAGTGTTTAATATTTAATAGCACAACTGACCAAGGTCCAAGATGTGAAGTTACCATGTTCAAGAAACGGGGGGAAATCACTCAATAAACTAACTATATAGTATGTGATAAGAATAACGCACACTTTATAATATAAAACCTGTCTACACATAGTAGTTAGTTGCAAAAAGCCACTCGGTCTTCTCTTGGCTTGTAAAAACAATGTTCCAGATTTCAGTGTAAATTAGCAACCTTCAACTCTTTTGTGTAGCAGGTATCTTGTTTTCACCTTCCAGTTCTTCCACCCCAGCCTGCGTCATGAGGTCTGCAATGTTTTTCTCCAGGTCATCAATGCGACTGCTCATGTCATCAATTCTCCCGATGATCTGATCGGACATGGTCTGAAATTTATCTTGCATCTGTTGCAGGAGCGTCTGCACCACCGAGGTGAGATCCTGCATGGTCTTGGGGTCAGTCTCGGCCATCTCCCCGGTTCCCAGCTTGGCGGTGATGTCTCAGACCGTCCAAGACTCACTCTTAATATCCTTCATTACCACCCCCATCTGACTTGGTCTTCTTTCTTGTTTTCTTCCCACATCAGACATGAGCACAGTAATCCAGAGACCTCATCTATCTTGTTCTTCTTGGGTCCCAGGTTCTAGCAGTGTACCTGGTACAGAATAGATTCCCAAGTAGTTTGTTGTTAAGGCATGAATTACCTGAGAGGTATACATCCACCTCTCCATTTAACAGAGGAGGACATGAGCCTCAGAGAGGGCAAGTGACTTGCCCAAAGTCAAGCAGCCAGCAAGTGGCAGAGTTAGTGTTGTGGCTGCTCACTCGTGGGTTGTGAAAGGATTCACGAGTCAGGTAGAAATACAGAAGGAAGGTTTATTACAGTAAGAGAAGGGTCAGCTGGGCAGAGTCTGCTGGAAACTACTGCCTGGAGTGTTTGTTTCACCTGAAGTTTTCTATTTTCTAACCAGGATGTAAATTGCTCCAGCCTGTATTGGAATCTTCTATTATGTTCGGCTTTGTTCCTTGGGATGGGGGGAAGGTGTGGTTAAACTGTTTATTGAAAGCTTTGCATATGTTATGTTGATTTAAGTTGGAGCCAGAAGTGGATTCCATAAAGATGCAAAACCTCTCCCAAGTCACAGGGCCAGAACTGGGCCAAGTAAACAGAACCATTGAAACTTGCATGTATATTGAATGTATTGTAAACAGAGTCTTTAAGGTTTGGTGAAAATGAGGCAAAGAAAAGAAAGCTTTCGAAAAGTCCCAAGCTAAACTATGCTTGTTAATTCGAGTTATACCAGAGATTCAAATCTCAAAATAGAAGATTTAGTGCCACCATTACAATGCCCCTGTCTTATTATTCTCCCCTCTCTGATTGGCAATGAAAAATCTTTGGAAATTGGGAGGAGGGTCCGTCTTCTATAACTGGTTCAGAGCTGGGCAGGGGCATAGAGTTGACTCTACCTACAAGTTTGCAGGTTAAAAATGGTGGACGGCCCAGGCCCTGGAAAATCCAGGCGGCTCTGTTTAGAAACTGGGTTTAGTTGGGGGCTACAGACTGGGAGTTGGAGCTCTGATCTGTGGGGCTGAAGGCTGCTTTAGGGCCATCTGCAGGGATGGGCTGGAAGCCTTGCATGAGTGCCATCTGCGATTTACTGGACTCAATTCTGGAAGAGACCAATTTAAGCAGAAGGTTAAAGAGGCATGGTCCAGATAGAAGTAACCTAAGAATAATAAGGAGGGGAACTGGTAAAGGTGACAGAAGGAACTACAACTAGGATCCCTAAGAGTGAAAAGGGGATCCCAGGTGGGGT